ACCCAGGTGCCCCAGAGTTTGTTTTTTAAACAAGCCTCATTTTGCCCCATTCTTTTTGTCAGGGCATTTTGAAATTGTAGTCTGACTAGGCCCCAGTGGGACTGGGTCCTAAAAGGTGTGAGAGCAGTGGTGTTTTAACACCTTGAGGATTCCTTGTTTGGACACCCCAGCAAGTATTCCCTGCCTATCTTTTTCTCAGTTTGCTGGTTAAATTAACTGTGAAACCTATTTCAGATATGTAGCCCGGTGGAGAAGGATTATAGTCATAGTGGTAGATGGTCTTAACATCCGTGTTCAACATTTCAAAATGGGCTCTCTCTGGAAGTCAAGCCCTCGCACCTCAGCCAGGCATAGAACGGCTTAGCCTTCTCAGCTTGTGCTGGCTTGTTCAGGGACAGGATCCAGGGCAGTACTGGGTGCACCTGTGCTCTTCAGGGCTTCTGGCGTCCTGGTAGGGGGGACCTGCAGGTCAGGCCAAGTGATCTAGGCCAGCAGGGAGACAAAATAACCTGAACTCCGAAGGAGGGAGAAGAGTGTTCTTGGATTAACCACAGATCGTAGGATTGACTTGGGGTCTGAAGCTATAGGTTACTCAGGCCTGGGAAGAGGTCTAAAGTCAGTGGTTTGATCTGTCTTTTTGGCTTAAGCCCCAAAAGTGGGTTCCAGAAAATCCTGGGGGTATGATACAAGATTCACAGCAGACCCCTGGCCAGATGCTGGCACTTCCCACTCCACCAGCTTTGACAATGAGGATAAGTTGATGAACAGCTGTCTCCTGAGCTAGATAGACCTCCCAAAGCAGAGACAGTAATGCAGGCCATGTCCCTACAATCCCAGGATCTCAGCTCAAGGCTCTTTTTCCCTTTTCTCTCTGATTTTTCCTTAGTGTTCAGACCTCCCTCCATGTGGCTCTCCTGTTACTTAGGTTGGCCTCAGAAATGCTAGTCCTTGAGAGGGAAGGAGAAAGAAATTGTGTGAGCCAGGATTCTGCCTTCGGTCAGGATCCCAGCCCCTACCCCAGGATGTATCTCATTGAGCACAAGCTCTCAGGTGTGTTGGGGCCTGGACCTACATTCCATGATTACTTGAGTCCTCTTGAGATCATGTGGGACATCTGGGGAGGGGAAAAAAAAGTAGATGGACCAAAGGGGAAGCTTAGGCCTCATCAGGGAAAAGAACCTATTTGAAGTTATTTGGTCAGTTTACTGGTAGAACAGGTCACTGCTGACTTCCCAGAAAGTCACAGCCAAGAATGGTGGGAGCCTTGGTGGAAAATTAGGAAAGCTTTCTGGAGGTGGGGTGCCTAGCCAGGACATGGATGATGATAAAAGGAGTTGAGACTTTGCCCTGAGGGTGGTGGGGAGAGGGACATGGCTAGCTTTGCTTGACTGGTAAAAGGCTGAAGAGCAAGGGAGAAAGAGAAGTTGGAAGCCACATTGCTTCACGTGGTCTCTGGGGGCCTCTCTTACCGGTGGAAAGCGTTTGGAATGAGATGCTGCCTGGCCTGCCCCTGACCCACCACAGGAGCTCTCCTGGAGGCTTTTGAGAAGGCCTCTGCAGGGCCATGTGTGAGGGCCCTAAACCACCCCAGAGTTGAGGACTGCAGGCTAGGAGTTCCCTCAGGGCTCTAACAGCTCAGAGCCAGGCCAGGCAGTAATCAGAAACCGCGCTGGAGGTGACCACATTGCCAGCCCTGCCTCAGTCGTCAGAACATGTGGTTCTAGTCCCACTTTGTGTCCCTGTTGACAAGCGCCATGCCTTCTCCTGAAACACAAACCTAGGGCTGAGATTAGAGGCCCAAAGTTAACCGCCTATTGTTGGCAGGTGTTGGAGAGGGAGGGGTTTCTCTTCACCTTCCCATCCCCAGAGCCTCAGCCTGTGTCATTGTTGACACTCCCAACAAATTCTCTTCCTACATATGTGGTTCCTTCCACTGGATTCACCTCCCTGAGCCCAGAGTGAACTCTTGTCACCAGCTTTAAATTTGCTCCACGAGTCCAGCCATGTTTCTGTCACTGCCAGCCTGACCCCGCTGAGCTCTGGACAGGGGACAGTGGGACTCTCACAGAACTCAGGCTGGGAGCCCACTGTGTTTCTCCCTCACTCCCTCAGGCTGTCATACACTAGAGCTATCCACTTAGCTTCTTTGAGGAACCCAGTTCCTGTCCTTCGGCCCATATGGCTGGGGATTGGGGATAGCTGGGGACAGGGAGGCAAGAAACATAGCCCCAGACCTTCGTAGAGTCAGCATCTTCAAGCAGGGTGGGACTGGGAGAAGCAGGAGCTGGACAGAGGGATCCCACACAGCTGGAAAAGCTGACCTAGCTGTTGTGCTGGTCTCCTAGCAACAGCCACCAGCAGCCCCTAGTGACCGTAGCAGTGCTGGGCCGGCTCAGGGGCCCTGACCTCACTGTGTTTGCTGTAGCAACAGCCACCAGCAGCTAACTCCCTTTCCTCCTGGAAGCCAGGCATTTGCATTTCTACTGGCCTGGTTCAGGCACTTCCCTTCCCCAAGCCCAGGACTAAGGGGGAGGGACAGGCAGTCTTGAAAACACTCGCCAAGTGTGTTCTCAGCACCTCCGTTCCAGAGTGTCTGAGGAGCCATCCCTCCAAGTCTAGCCACTTCCCCCGACAGGGGCCAGCTATTTATGAGTTGGTTCTGCTCCGCCCCCACCCCTCCTATCCCCAGAAGGTGCAGGGACGAGCCTCTGCCCCCCATCTGCCCCTTGGGAAACCTCCAGGTGGTGTTTATCCATGTCCTTGGGGTTCGAGGCAGTCAAAATAGGATCGCTTCTTAAGAGCAAGAACATGGAATGGGTTGTCCGTAGAATGATCTAGGGCCACAGTCCCACTGGCACCTATTCACTCTGGCCTTTGTGCCAGGAGAAAAACCTCATTATTTAGCTAGAGGAGGCCAAATTCTATCTTGCTATGATCAGATGCCACTTTCTGCTTTGCCTTTAGGAATGAGTCCAGGAAGAGCAGTGGAGAGAGGGACCTTTCCTCTAACCTGATGTGCCTCTTAACCATTTGTGGCCCAAGGCCTCTCCTTGGGCTGGTCCCAGGTCCCAGCCTGAGTGTCCTCCTGCCCCTCCTTGAAGGGTGGAACATTTTCCCTGGGGAACAGGGAGGAACATCCCTGCCTAGTGTGTGTTAGGGCTGGGGGTCTGGTTGGTGAGAACAGCTACACCCACAGCCCAGATCTTTCAGCAAATGTGCTCTGGGGTCCCTGGGCTCTGGGTGACCCACAGCCCAGCTTCCTGTTCCTTGTGTCTTGGGAGAGGATCTCTTGTGACTTTTTCTTTTTTTTTTTTTTTTAATTTAACTTTCCTTGGTCCTTTCCATTAGGAAGCCTCTCCAAGGACAGTGTCAGTCCTGTTGGCTATATTTTCAGACCCACCCTGTGTGTGTTGACTTGGAACTTTTCCTGCCCCCTCCCTGCCACATGCCAGACGTTTTCACATCTGCAACTCCTCAACAGAGCCAAGAGGAGGGTGATATGATCCCTGTCTTTCAGATGAAGAAATTTGAGAGGCAGGCTAATTAGGTGACTTGTCTACAGCCTCACAAATAGTAGAAGGCACAGCTGGGATTTCAACCCCAAGCTTCTTCCCCAAAGCCTGTGTTCTCCCTGTCCCATCTCACTGTCCCTGCCCTTCTGATGGGATGTCACTGTAGCTTGATCCTCCCCTGGCCTGGGTTGCTTTGCATTCACATTTTAACAGCGAGAATATCCATGGCACACACCCCCTCCACAATAATAGCCATAACAGCCGTGCTTCCCGTTTGTTCAGTGTTGGCTGTGAGCCAGGCCCTGGGCTAATCAAGGGCTTTTACTCACATGAACTTCTATTGTCTTAATAACGACTGTATGACATTCATACTCTTTTCCCCTTTCAGGGCTTGAGACTCAGACTCATGAAATACGCAGTACGTTGATTTTACAGACAAGTAAGCCAGAGTTTTTCACCCAGGGCCATGCAGGTGTGACCTGACCAGGTCCACCCCACACACTGCTTGCCTCTGTCAAGATGCTCCCACTCTGGAGGCTGTCTCATAACCCCACTCTAGGAGTTCCTCGTGTTTGGACGGTTGCTTTGTGGTCCTTTTCCGCTCAGTCTTCACCAGTTCTAGGAGGGCAGCTTCTCATCCCTGTTTTACAGATGAGGCAACTGCATAAGGGCTGGCCAGAGCTAGTTACTGGCCGCACTAGGGTTTTTCCACCTTGCCAGGCTGTGTCTTCAAAATGCCATATTTTTGTGTCCACTGGTGCATGCCCCTTACAGACTCTTCACCTCTGTAGCTTCTCCCTTGAGTCCCTGTCAAAGCCATTAGAAGTTGTTTAAATGCAGTTATTCCTCGTTACTCCAGAGCTGTTGAGTGTCTGAGTTTGGATAGGGTGGATACCCGTATAGGTGCCTGGGCCCCACTTCTAGAGAATGGGGTTTGGGGGTTCCTTAGTGGGGGTGGGCCTGCTTTTTTTTTTTTTGTTTTTGTTTTTGTTTTTGTTTTTGTTTTTTGGAGTAGCATCCAGAAGGTTTGGGTGTGCAGGCTGAATCTCCCAGGTCTGGGCCCCAGTCCCAAAGGGCCTGGCATGTAGTTGGTTTTCAGTAAATGGAAGCTAATGGTCACTGCTGCTCTCAATCAAGTGTTTTCTAGAGACCCACTTTGTGCCCAGTGCACACTGCACACCGCCCAGACGAAGAGAACAAAATGTTAGCAGCAAAACCACTTGTGAAAAGCATGGGCTGCTGCCTCGTCAGGCTCTGGGTAAAAGCCTGTGGATGAGACTGATGTTTTAGAGAGGGACTGAGGGAATGAAAACAGTCCACACGGCAGTCAAAAGGGGGTGGTTAATTATGGCAACCACTGTGTAAATATTATGGAGCCATTAAAAGTGAACACTGACACAGAAAAAAGGTTAAAGAAACATTAAGTGAAAAAAGCCTTCAGGAGAGTATGTAGCATGATTCCACTTGTGTTAAAAATCACACAGATCGGTGCTCACTTTGGCAGCACACACACTAAAATTGGAACGACACAGAGAAGGTGAGCATGGCCCCTGCTCAAGGATGACATGTTTGTGAAGCGTTGCATATTTTATTATTTTTTATGAGAGAGAGAGAAAAGGAGGGGAGAGAGCAAGCTCAGGGAAGGGGTAAAGAGAGAGGGAGAGAGAATCCCAGGCAGGCTCCATCCCATGAACTGTGAGGTCATGACCTAACCCAAAATCAAGAGTGCGACACTTAACCGACTGAGCCACCCGTGCACCCTGCATTTTAAACATGAACACTTTTCGTTGTGTACCTATAAGATTTTTCCACCAGGTCTCAAAGTCGGTGCTTTAAGAAAAAAAATCACACAGATCTTCCTGGAAATACATAAATTCAGTACAGGCCATCTCTGGGAAGTAGGACTGGCAGTAAGCGGATGAAGGGATTATTCTTACTCTAAACTTTATCCTTGTACTCTGACAGTTTTATCGTGAGCAGGTGTTACTTTTAGAATTGGGGGTGGGGAGGGGTAGGGCGTAAAATGCATACCAAGAACAAATAGGAGTTAAAAGCCCAAGTGTAGGTACCCCTTGTCCTGTGACTGTCAGCAGCCACTTTCCCAAAGCCAATTTCTCAGAATGGGCTCAAGAATCTTAACAAAAAAAGCACAGTTTCCTGAGTTTGTTTTGTTTTGTTTGCTTAGAGCTAGTATCCTTTTCTCAATTCCTGGCCCACAGAATACCTGATAGGAAAAAACCCAACTCGTAACGTACCATCTCTTGCCTCTTCTGTTTCCTACCCCTAGACAAATGTTTATGGGTCAGCCCAGAGACGAAAAATGAGACCATTTGAAGGCTTCCAGCGCAAAGCTATTGTAATTTGTCCCACTGATGAGGACCTAAAAGACCGGACTATAAAGCGAACTGATGAGGAGGGGAAGGATGTCCCAGATCACGCGGTCCTAGAAATGAAAGGTAGGAGATAAGCCAGCACAGCAGGGTCCTTAGGAGAAAAGCGCCTTCCATCGTCCTTTCCTCCCCAGCTCCTTGCTTATTCCTCTTTTGATCTTGTCCATTCTTTCCTTGCTCCCATTTTGCCCTTCCCTGTCTAGTGCACCTGTGAATGGAAGAGCTGCTGACATCTCTCACAGCATGGTTTAGACTAGATGGGGCTGGGGCAGGATGAGGGAGAGGACACGTGGTGGGAAACGCTGAGACCTGCACATCTCCTGCCTCTGGCACCCACTGGTGGGGTGACTGAGCAAGCTTCATTCTGCTCCTGTGTAGAAACAAGGATGGTGATTCCACGTCTCTGGCCCACTCCCTGGGGAGGCTGGAGGGAGTGTTTATATTTGGTGGGGCTTGTAGCCACCTCTTCAGAAAAGGGACAGGAGAGTCTTTATTAACTCCTGATCATTGTCAGAGAGGTTAAGACCCTTTCTCACTTCTGTCACTCACTATTCATGCCTCTGCCATCTCCCTTCTGGCCGGCCAGTGTCCTGGGGGTGTAGGGGACTAGACCTTGGGAGGTGCTGACCTCCCTCTCCCTGCTCCCTCCGGGGCCCTGCCTTCCTCCTAGCCAACTTCACGTTACCAGACGTTGGGGACTTCCTGGATGAGGTGCTGTTCATTGAGCTGCAGCGGGAAGAAGCAGACAAACTGGTGAGGCAATACAACGAAGAAGGTCGCAAGGCCGGGCCACCCCCTGAAAAGCGCTTTGACAACCGAGGTGGTGGTGGATTTCGGGGCCGTGGGGGCGGTGGTGGTTTCCAGCGCTATGACAACAGAGGCCCACCAGGGGGCAACCGAGGAGGCTTCCAGAACCGAGGAGGAGGCAGTGGTGGAGGAGGCAACTACCGAGGAGGTGAGACATCTCAAGCAGAGCTCTCTCCGCTCTTGGCTCCCGGGTCAGGGTTGGTGATTGCTTATTCAATCAGCAGATGAATTTTCCCTAGCACCAGCTGTGGGCTGAATTCTGGTGGAGAACCAAGGTGATCAAACTCTGGGGCCACAGGGAAATTCCCACTGTCCTGCTTCTCCTGGGGATTGCTTCTGAAGCCCATGCCCGTTTGTAGGTCACCCTCTGTCATTTTTACGAGTCCAACCTTCCATCTGACCATGAGCTCCGTAAGAAGAGGGGCCAGGCCGAGTTTACTGCCGGTCCTGCCTTCCAGCTCAGGCACAAGGCAAACGTTAGGACTGTTTTCGCGGTTTAGTATTCAAACAAATAGAAAAATGGGCTTAGGTTAATTTGCCCAAGTTTCTCCCAGCTAAATCCAGAGCTGGGAGCAGGTGGTCCAGTGCCCAAGTTTTCTATCTTAAGTTCTGCTGTCTCTGAGGTAAAGTGTATGATCATGATTTAACTAGCATACCCAACTGTTTCAGTGTTGTGCTAGATGGTTCTGGGGACACAGCCATGACCTGGACAGACACATCACCCTGTGCTGACAGTACAGAAGGATTCTGCACTGAATGGCAGAGCCCAGGGTTACTGTGAGCTTGGGTGACACCAGATCCAGCCTGTGAGGGAGCCAGGCTCAGGAAAGGCCTCCCAAGATAGCAATGTCTAGGCTGAGGTCCAGAGACCTGTGGAAGTTGACAGGGGAAGGGTTCTGGGCCCAGCAGCAGCTGGTCAAGGGCTCAGGAGAGATGGCCCATTTGACCCAGCCTGAAGAGGACTGTCCTCAATATTTAGCATCCCTCTTCCTGACCTTCTCTGATTTGTTCAATAGCTATCAAGATGCTGGGGACACAGTAGAAACCAAAACAGCCCTGGTCACGAGCTCACAGTCCAGTGGGCAGGACAAACCTGTCAGCAGACAGTGAAGACTGAGTTATCAGGGCTGTATGGGGGACGTGCCCAGGGGTCTGGGGAAACCCAGAGTGGAGCCCAGCTCCTGAGGGTCCCAAGTTCAGAATGACGAGACCTCCCACCTGGCTTCTCCAATGCAGGTTTCAACCGCAGCGGAGGTGGTGGCTACAACCAGAACCGCTGGGGTAACAACAACCGGGATAACAACAATTCCAACAACCGAGGCAGCTACAACCGGGCTCCCCAGCAACAGCCACCACCACAGCAGCCCCCGCCACCGCAGCCTCCACCGCAACAGCCGCCGCCACCACCCAGCTACAGCCCCGCTCGGAACCCACCAGGGGCCAGCAGCTACAACAAGAATAGCAACATCCCTGGCTCGAGCGCCAGTACCAGCACCCCCACTGTCAGCAGCTACAGCCCTCCACAGGTGAGAACATAACATGTACGGGGCAGCGATTGTGGTCCCGTGCTCCAGCCGCGGGTCTCCACTCTTCCCTCCAGCCCTGCCCTTCTTCCTGGCAGTGCTTTTGACTGGATGGACCCTAGATACTCCTTCCAGACCCAGATAAATTGGGAACTTCTTGTTTTTCCCCCTCACCCCACCTGTCAGGGTGGTGTGCTATAAGTGTTGAATGCTCCAGCAAGTAAATTTTTCTGGGTTGTGTCGCTGGCCTCTACTGAATCCCCAAGAAAGCACTTGATCGGAGCTGCCCTTTGCCGAGGCTGGAAGGGACTGACCCCCTTATCTCTAACGTACTGAGACAGGCCCTAAGGTTGGGAGGTCTCGCCCTGTGCCCTGAGAGTTTCACTCTGGAGCAGCTCCTAGCTCAGTTCCAACTCTCCACAAGCTGGTGCTCGGACTCTGGTATGCACAGGCCTGTCACCCAGAGCTGTCCGCAGCCATTTCCTGAGCGCCTTCCACATGCCAGGCCTGGGAACAGCTGCCAAGAGACATTGGTGAATGGCTCCTAGTCCTGCTTTAACCAGAATATTTCCTAGAATGGGATTTGGGCAGGCACGAGTTCAAGCCCCCGCCCCACGTCTTAGTTCTGTAACCTTACATAAATGTTTCACCTCTCCGGACCTCATATTCTTCATAAAAGGCTAGAGTTGTTTATAGAACTCACTTCTGAGGTTTGTTGTGAGGGATGGGTGGCATTATAGCTTTGTGGGGAAAGCTCTGGAACTAGACAGACCAGAGCTTAACTCCCAGCTCCACCACTTCTTACTGTGTGACTTGGGCCCGGTTGTTTCACCTCCTTGAGTGTCAGCTTCCTTCTCTGTAAAATGCCACTAATGGAACCCGCCTCTCAGATTTGATGGGGGGATTAGATGGGTTAACGATAGAGCCTGGATTTGGGAAGCACCTGGGAAATTGCTACTACAGTTGCTCTCAGCCAACCTTCCCAAAGCAACTGCCACTACTTATTGAGTGCTCAAGCTTACTGAATATACAAAGCAGTCTGAAGGGGAAAAAGCAGTGGAATTTCAAGAGATGCTGTGCGCCTTGCTCCCCCAGGGTCTTAGAGCCAGGAGACTGCAGAACACAGCCTTACATCCCACCCTGTCCTGCCATGTCCCAGAGCCGACCCGTTTCCTCAGCCCTCAGACAACCTCCACCAAGGAAGTTCCTTTGTGGGCCCACTGCTTACAAAGGCCCTTCCTCCATCCCAGCTGAGCTATTTCACAGAACCCTGATTTTTCCCCCCGTTTTCCAGCCGAGTTACAGCCAGCCACCGTACAACCAGGGAGGGTACAGCCAGGGCTACACAGCCCCTCCACCTCCACCTCCACCACCGCCTGCCTACAACTATGGGAGCTATGGCGGCTACAACCCGGCTCCCTATACCCCACCGCCGCCCCCCACCGCACAGACCTATCCTCAGCCCAGCTATAACCAGTATCAGCAGGTAGGTGCCAGACTCAGGCTATGGGGGTGGGGGGAGGGTGTGCTAAAGAGACTTCCAGGGGCCTGGACTGGAGTCTGTATTTATTCCTAAAAAGATGGGCTGGCCTCAGGCCAGTATTTGTCTGATGTAGCCATTCCATTTGGTGGACACTTACGTACCAGCTGCTGAATACCTGATCTGAACCTCCCCTCCCAGTGCAGCAAGCAAACTACAAAGCAGGGGCCTTCAAATCCTGCTTCAGCACCATGGCCAGTGTCCACACCCCTGGGTTGGTGCTAGGCCATCATAGCTATTAGTAAGTGTTTTGAATATGGCTATCTGGCTGTACCTGAAAGGACATTAGGTTGGCAAGCCAGGAGGTCTGGGCTTTAGTCCCTGACTGTCCATCCACGTGGCATCAGGTCAACCACTTGTCCTCCCAAGGTGCCTTGATTTCTCTCTCAGGGGACCCATCTCTGCCCTGGGTGGGAGTAGGGTCAAGGCAGGAGCCAAATGTGGGTCTGGGTAAGGACAACCTGGTGCTCTTGGTCTCTCTCTCCAGTATGCCCAGCAGTGGAACCAGTACTATCAGAACCAGGGCCAGTGGCCACCATACTACGGGAACTACGACTACGGGAGCTACTCCGGGAACACACAGGGAGGCACAAGCACACAGTAGCCGGTGTGCTCTGGAGGCCCCTGCCGGCTTCCTCCACCAGCGCCCACCTCGGCCCCCTCGTCTACCCCCACTGGGTCCTGTGGTGCTGGGGGACGGGTCATCCCAGGGCTGCCTCCTTTCAGCCCACTGCCTCCCCTCTGAGGGGCTTCTTCCCCAACACAGGGCCGGGCATTTTTCTCTGGATTCAAACAGGCAACAGTGACCTTTTATTTTCTGTTTGTCCCCTTCTTCCTCCCCTTCTTCTCTTCTTCCTCCCCTTCTTCTCTTCTTCCTCCTCCCCTCCTCCTTTTTGACTGAAGACCCCCCCCCCCCCCTTGGTCAAACAGTGAGGCTGCAGTGGCTGAGGGAGGGCCCCTTCTGCTCATCTGTCCCAGTCCTGCTCCAGCCCCCTCAGCTTCCCACACCCTCATGCAGTTGGTTGTAAATTCTTCCAGGAGCTGTTTTACTGTCTACTTTTCAGGATTTAAAAAAAAAAAAAAAAAATCAAAAACTTAAAAAAAAAAAAACCCACAAGTTTAAAAAGTAAAATGCGGAGG